CTTCTGTTAGCTTTTAATATACGGTTTTATCCTGATTAAAGCTTTAATACAGTACGGCAACTGCACGCGCGTCCATGGTTAACGCTTCTCATAGCTATGTGAAAATAAGTGTATAATTGGAACAGTTCATTGTTATAGCTGAGCTGAATGAGAGCGAGAGAGAGATGCAGAGCGTGTGCAGAGCAGCAGACTCGAGGAACAGTATTAAGAACCGCTGCTTTAGAACATTGATTTTGAAACTTGTGAATCCATTAGAATCGTTAGAAGACAGAATCGTGATTCATATATGAATAGATTTTTACGTGCACCTCTAGTTTTCTCTTCCTCTTCTCTAAAGCAGAGCAGCACGGCCTCGCCCCCTTTGTGGCTTTTTCCCGAGGGCAGGGTTTATCTGGGTTTGTGACGTCACAAACCCAGGAAGTAACTCGTTGTAGGGACACCAGCCATTTTTGTAGGCATTAAACTGCCAGAATTTTAAAAGACGATATCTCTGTTTGCATTGAACTTTCAGCTTTGTAACTTTGCAGATATTGTTTATGCTCAAACAGCAACATTACACACTAACTAACGTTAAAAAAGTGAAAGCGCAATCAACCACCCCTTTAAAACAAGACATTTTTGTATTTTTATTTTTAATAGACGCTCTATTTGGACTGACGAGGAAGTTCTAAGCGCTGAAACTTACTGTATGTCTTCATAGCGCAAACTGTATTTCAAAGATGCTGCAATTTTTTTATGCTCTCAGTAATTTTAACCTGGCTGTCGGTTAACAGTACTCAGTTTCCACCCCGCTTTTCTCTGTCATCTGCGTTTGTCATTTTCTTGGAAGGAGAGATGCTAGGGAGGATCCCGTCTGTTGTAAAGTGCTGACTGAGCCAGGCTGCCCGACCTCGTCATGTCTAGAATGTAAAAGGAAAACGTTCGGGGCGCTGTGGATGTCTGCTTGCGGGACCATTAAGGGCCCCATCAATATTAAAGAGCTCGGGACGACCTGAGGAACATTCCAGAGGCCAGTCCATTAGCGGCCAGCTCCGGCACAACAATTCAAGGGTCTGTGTGTGTGTGTGTGTGTGTGTGTGTGTGTTAGCTTTTCCAGTCTTGGTTTAAATAAGAATCAGTATTTTAGAGTAGCTTTGCATGCAACAATATTCAAACAAATCCATCTAGGGGGATTTAAAGGGATAGTTCCACCAAAAAAAAAAGTATAATTCTGTAATGATTTGCTTAAGATAAACCACAAAAGCAGATCATTTGCATAATGTTCACACTGTTCTTTTTTGTGCATTGAAAGTTAGTAACAAATGTGTAAGCTTTAAAAAAAAAAAAAAAAAGGACCAAAAAGCACCATAAAAGTAGTGATACATAAAATTTGAGAAACATATTCCAAGTCAGGCAAGGCATTAGGATGAGTAAATGAAGGCAGAATTGTAATTTGTTTGATAGATTTGCTTGAATATTATGACATGTAAAGTTACTTTGATTCTTACTTAAACCAAGACTAATACATACCCACAGTTACACAAACAGAATTTAAAGGTATAATTCACACAATTCTGCCATCTTTTACTCACTCTCATGCTGTTGCAAACTCACATGACTTGGAATATGGCGCTCAAATGACTAAATGTCACTGTATGACTACCTTTTTTTTGGTGTTTTTTGCTTATTTTTTAAGCTTGGCAGAATTTGTACACATTTACTTTCACTCCATGGAAAAGAACAGTGTAAACATTCTGCAAACCATCTGCTTTTGTGTTTTATGGCATGTAAATGATGACAGAATTGAGGCATGCAAAGTTACTCTGAAAATTCTGATTCTTACTTAAACCAGAACTAACACACACATTTACGCAAACACGATTTAAAGGAAAAGTTCACCTAAAAATTATAATTCTGTAAATGTTTGGCAGAATGTTCACGTCACACTGTTCTTTTCCATAGTCATACATATAATCTGAACGCCATATTCCATGTCAAGTCTAATTAAATCATGACAGAATTGTGATTTTTGGGTGAACCATCCCTTTAAGTTGTGTTTGTGTAAATGTGTGTGTGAGAGTGAGTGCGAGTAAGAGAAGATGGGTCTCCTTTAGCCTTACATTAAACAGATCATTAACTGTTAAGTGTGTGAGAGCTGTGTCCATTTCCGGCTCCCATACGAAACCAATAACCGTATGTGTTTTTTCCTATCAGTCCCATCAGCAGCTTCATCATAGTGAAAAGGCAAAATCATAGTGAACAAAGTTTATGTGTGTTTGTGCACGACTTTGCAGTGTCTGGATAATTTAATCAGGGATGTATTACCTCTTTTCCCCTGACACTAGTATTTATTTATGCTCTTGTTCTCTTCAGCCTGCACAACCTTTTGCTTGTTTCTTTCTTCTGCAAAGTCAAGCATCACTGTTACTGTTGCTCTTACTCAAGTTTAAGTGTTAAGCTAAAGTATTAAACAGGTGAGAAAATATCACAGACTTACTTTGAAGGATGGACCCAATCCATATCTATATGTATACATGTATATTATTTTAGTATCATTATGATACTGTTTTAAATTATTTTATTTTTTAAATTAATTTAACAAAAACATAAATAAAAATAAAAAAAACACATAAATTAATACATTTTTACTTGTAAACACTTTATATTTTATATTTTAAATTTTATTTTAATTATAGTAATTCGGTCAGGACCACTATCATCAAAGATGACTGACAATTAGTATACAGTTTGGATTGGTGGTATGGTTCTGTTCATTTTATAATATTTTAGAAATTAGACTGATTCAAAGGAAAATCAGAAGGCCGAATCCTGACTGACGAGAGGAGGAGTTGGGGATGGAGGAGGTTAATTAACTATTGAGCAACGCGAAAACTGGTGATAATACTGAAGCATCTTATATACTGTATGGGTGCTGTGATAGGTGTCTCATCCCTATAGGTAGACGTGGATCAGCTGAGAGTCAGCTGATGTGAGCTTAAATAAATATGACCTGCCAGAACTAATGCAACGCTTGATTTTTGTTGTCATTTTTAAAAATGTTTATACTGGTAGATTTAATTCTTTATTATTTCTTCTTTAGTTGTTACATCAAGTTAAACTATTTCAAGCATTTTTTTAGTTAACTATAATAACCCTGCACCAGACAGAAAGAAATAACCTAGCAACACCTTAGCAACCATCCACAACATCCCAAAGGTGAAGTCACATTTACAGCTGCACAACTTTTGCACAAGCAAGCACCAGTCACTTTCTTTTACTAACAGAATTCATTGACTGATGGAATATCTTTTGATTCTGTATGTTGTCCTCACAAATCTCACTTATTAAAACCCATAGCGCACTGCGTGACCTCCTTGCCCTTGAGAATAACCTGCTGACCCTGCTATAAGTGAAGTGAAATTCGACATCCTTCCGGTCCTCTGTTCCTGTGAGCCTGACTCTGCCAACAAACCCACGTGGGTAAACAACACCTCGGCCTTCTGCTCTCCACGCCTGCTGACCTCAGCTGCATTTTTTTTTTGTCTGCTGCGGTCGGTGACCTGCACGGCACATCATGCTTAAATTAATGCTGCTTCAAGACCTCCGCCCCCATAATGTGCGCAGTTTGGCACCGTTATACAAGCCCTGCTTAGTTTGCACTGGCCAATGGCTAGTGGTCAAAAAATGAATCAAGGAACAATTTGGAAACATCTGCCTGAGGTCTGTCCCATCCAGGTACTAATAGACACTTTGTAAAGTTAGCATAGTTAGTCAAGCCAACTTTTGTGCAATAATCATTATATTTTATTATTTTTATTTTATAAAACAGATGCAAGATGCAAATTCAATGCATCAGTTAATGAAATGAACGAGTGCAACTGGTAAGCAATAATCTTAAAGGAATAGTTCACTGGACGAAACAATATTATGGATCATGGACTCATATTTTAGCCAGAAGCAACGGTTTGGAGTTAAAAACATCTTAATGATGGATTTGTTTTTTACAAACATGCAGCTTTTGGCTTTTCAAGACATTAACTGGTGGACTGGAGTGGTGTGGATTACTTTTGGATTATTGTGATTTTTTATCAGCTGTTTGGACTCTCATTCTGACGGCACCCATTCACTGCAGAGCATCCATTGGTGAGCAAGAAATAAAATGCTACATTTTCAAAATCTCTTCTCATGAACAAACAAACACATCTACATCTTGTATGACCTGTTGGTGAGTAAACAATCAGCAAATTGTTATTTTTGGTGAACTATTCCTTTAATATGATGAGCTCCCACTTACCAGCTTATAGGCAAATGAGTTACAGCTACTGGGAAACGTTACAACACTTAATTGTTTTGTCAGGCTAATGAGCAGGAAAAAAAGCATCCAGGAAGAATCACATCACTGTACAGCCTGCTGACCATGTGAAACATCATTTTTTAACTTCTGGTTGTGAGAAACAGGAATTAGCATGGTGAATATTTTTATCACACCCTACTTCCCCATTTCACATACGGTCTGTCCTGAATAGTGTGCAAGATTGGAATTAATATGTCCCCCGATCATACAGTAGCATGTTTACAAAAGCAGGCCAAAGCTGCCCGGATGATGTACTATTTCTGGTGGATTTTCAAAGTGTGTATTTCATATGTTTTTGGGGTTAATGTTGATTTTAACACTAATATATTTTACAGAGCCTGTGGCTTGATTTCTCAGAACACCTGTGTTCATATGTTTCGGTTGGTGATATTTTTTAATGTTTTTGAAAGTCTCTTCTGCTCACCAAGGCTGCATTTATTTGATCATAAATGCAGTAAAAAGTGTAAAATTATGAAATAATATTACAATTTCAAATAACTGTTTTTTTTTTTCCTGTGATGCAAAGCTGAATTTTCAGCATCATTAATCCAGTCTTCAGTGTCACATGATCCTTTAGAAATCATTCTAATATGCTGATTTGTAATCAACAAACATTTTTATTATTATCAATGTTGAAAAAAGTGATAGTTTCTTCTAGAGGACTCACCAGAGTGCAGAATCTCTCCGGTGGGTTCCCGCAGGTGACGCCTGGCGGCTCGACGCGGATGTGCATGTACTCCTTCATGGCCTGGGCTTTGGGTTGGCACGCGTAATGCTCCCACACAGCGCCTTCGTCCGTGCTCACGAGAGACTTGCACAGGTCGTACTGGCCTCTTGCTCTCGCCAGCACGTGCACCAGCAGGTAGAGGAGTCCCGCGCATGCACGCATGGCAGGCGTGCGAATAAGAGGGGATTTCCGAGGGTCCAGAGAAACGGGAAAGGTACCACCGAGGGTTCAGAGGTGGGACGTGTTAACATGGAACAGCAACGCCGGTGGTCAGGTTAAAACATCCCATAACTTCGCCACGGTCATTACTCCAAAAGAAAAAAGTCAGATATATAGAAAAAGAAAATGTGCATAAAAGTGTTTTGTTGTTATAAGGTTGAGGGGAAGTTTTGTAAAGCAAGTTTATTGTTTTGTGTATTGACTTCTGCCTTACTTCTGTGTGTCTGGACACTGTCCTGATATGTTGGGTCAAAGGTGCTGATGTTTCTACTTGGACCTACATCCATAGCAGCTCCTGGACTGCGTCACCGCAGAGCATATTTATGTCCCGAAGGTCACATGAAGTGGGTTTTCCCTTTTCCAAGCTCAGAAATGTCTGCCTGGTTGCATCCTTCACTCTTTAGCAGCTGCTGTCCATGGTCCTGAAAGCAAACACCACACATTTCAGTGTTTAACTTCACTGCTCTTTTGTACACAAGCTCTTGATGTCAGCCTGTTTTTTTTCTAGCGCCGCTTTCTGCTGATGGTCTAATTTGCCAAACCCCCCTTAAACAGACGTTGGATGTCATCCTGTGAACCACCACCAGTCCGGACAGATGGCTGATCTCGCATACAACACGAGTCTGGAGTGAGGAACATGCGTGGTACATGCACACACACACTTCACAGACAGAAATTATGTAAGACAGGACTTTGAGGAAGAGAAGCAAAGGGGATGTGCGACATATCTCATGCAGATATTATCATGCAGAGATTGTATGTTAAATATTGCACGGTATAGTTTACTGAATGAACCACATTTCATTTCCATTGGGAAATGGGAGGAGTGAGGAATGGTCTCACATGTGCAGATACACGCATAGCGATGACATTAATTTCTAAGGTTGCAAATGCAATGCATACCTGTAAAAATCAGGTAAAGTAACCATGTGCTTTGCATGGTAGGATCTGCTTTTATTCAAGTCAAAAATAGACTGAATCAACCTGATTACATTACAACATTTTTAAATCAGATCAGGTAGAAAATATATTTGCTTGTAATTTTACAGTAGCCTAAACAAAGCACATTTTCAACTCTTCATTGCATACACTTCTATCGTAAGATATTTAAACGTTTTACAAATAAAAAGTATGAAAGGCAATATGATTTATGGGGAAATTGCCGTTTTAGGAATTCCCTGCACAATGCATAACATTTAGGTTGCGTTTAAAAAGTTTTTTGTTATCGTTCATGGAAATGTAATGTTGAGTAGACGGTGTTTTAGATGCATTTTAGTGTAGGCCTATTTCTTTGGCTTTGAGGGGCCAGTTACGACGAACTTTAAGTCATTTAGTAGTTAGTAGGTTGGCCATCACTCTCAATCACTATCTGCTGGTTTGAGTCAGGCTGGCCCGGCTCTTCTACTGTCTTCTTGTTCTTGGAGGGATGAAACTGAACCGTCCCACTCTTGAGGCACCTGGGAATCCACATTTTTATGCTCTCCAGACCTCCCTGCTCGGGGAAGCCTCTGACAGGTTGCTTTCTTCCTCTTTTATTTAATGGGTTCTCTGACTTTCATTCAGAAATGCTGATAGAGCAGCTCTCGGTGCAATATTTGCTGTTCAATGCTCAGGGGTTGGTAGGTTACAGCAATAACTTTTGTTTTTTTTTTTACTTCAAAGAAGCACAAGATCCCATAATAGCCAAATGGTTCTTGATGTCTAATGTGTTGCCACTTTGCAGTCTGAGAGTTTGAATTTACATTTTCAGTACAGTTCCTCAAAAAGTACACTTTCGAATGCAACTCATTGTCTAATGTCATTGCATTCGATAAAAAAACCCCAATAATAATCAATATAACTGGTTTTTGTTTAATTATTTATTTTAAAGATAGCAGATGTAAAATTTTCAAGAAACAAAACATTTTGGGGGTTTTAAATGATAAACGGTATGTATTATGTTGCATAGAAAAAACTGACATGTTTGGTTTGTTTGTTAGTTAATGTCATGTACTACACCTGTGGTTCTTCTCCCTGTGTGGACTGACTAAAAACCACCAAAACAACAGTTGATTGCAAGACATTGGGGGGATCCTGAAGCATTTGAGACACACATACAGACACTTTTAATTTTTTTATTTATGCAAAGAATGTGTACCCCAATGTGACCTAAGTGTCTAAAAAATATTTTGGGACCACTGTGTGTTCTAATATGCAAATATAGTACGACAGAATTTCCATTAGGGCCAACAGGTCGACTGATTTACATCAGTTCTCTAGTATACTAGCGTTAATGCAAAGACTTAAACGAATGGTTAAAGGAGGATGGGACAGTTCATCTACAATCCTTCATAGAAGACACATCAGCCAGGCCAGACTGAGTCGAACCCACAGACAGTGATGAATTGGGATGTTAAATTTTTTTTATTAATTAATTTATTTATTACCATGATATTCGGTCAAAAATTGCATAAGGATTCTCATTTATGCACCTGGATGTTTGTTTTTATCATTATTCCCATTATTCTCAATGATTCTCATTATATCTTAAAAATACTGAAATACAAAGCTTTATTATTATTATGTATTTTTATTAAATTGGCATAAATTATAAATAAAATATATATTTTTTAGTTAAATTGGCATAAATTAAATGTATAAATACTAATAATAATAATATTATTATTTTGTTTCTATGCATTAAGTAATTAAGTGTGTCAGGGAAGTACTTAATGGTCATATAAAAATTCTTAATGATCCTAAATTATAATTCCATATTCTTACTTTAGATTTTTTTTGGGATAAAATTTGACCCGGACATGTTCTTGGACAGGTTTTGTGAGATTCACCCTTGAATTTCTCAGAGCAGAATTCTTTTATTTCTTCTATGTGAATTTATAAAGTATGTGTGATGTTAAAGAGAGCAGAACAGAAAGAGAGAGAGTTGGCGTGATTCTGTGCTCTGGACGGTTTGCGTTGACAGGAGTGCAGATCAGATCGATAGTTTGTCCTTGCTGCGTCTCAATGGAAAGATTTCCGCATCTCTCTCTCTCTCTTTTGCTCTCGCTCTCTCAGAGCTGACTTGACTTTCCCCCTCTTGACACAAACCCTGCCTCTCTGTTACCGCTAAAAAGCTATTTATAAAAATATTTACTGAACATTAAAAGCCATGTGATTTATAAATGATTTCAATGAATCCCCATCTGAATGGTCTGACCTGAAACGCGCAAACAGGATTATCCATCTTCAATTAAATGGGAAAAAGGAAAACTCCCTTATCCCATCTCTGAAATGACGTCACAGTCTGCCAAACTTTGCTCAGGTTGACCGTCTGTTTGGCACGTCTGCTGGATGAATCAGAGGAAGTGCGTAATCCACTGGCACCTGTCACAATGTTGACATATCATGTCTTAATAAGCCATAGATTAGGGATTGTAATCAGTGAAGTCAGGCAAGGGCTTATGAAACTTCCTAACCCGTGACGTACTTATAGGTCATGAACTGCTTGTGACCTGAAAACGAGAAACTGAGTCAATGATGATGAGCAGTACGCTGATGGTTGAATTGAATGGATATGTATCTAATAAAGCAATGTTTATTGAACATTTTGGGAAGCCACAGCTTTGACATTCTGCATCCCCTTTTGTGCTCCACAGGAGGAAAAACGCCATGTGCTTCTGGAACGGCATCAGGGTGAGTAAATGATGACAGTTTTTTTGGATCAACTGTGCCTTTAAGAGTTTGGAACCATTAAAAAGAGAAAGAAAAGAAGAAAATCCTCCCCTGCATTGGCGTGAGTTGAGTGTAAGAAGCTTCAGAAGTCATTTACGCATGCACCGTTCAGCCAGACGTCGCCTGATTCAGGCCGTACACTTGGCGTCATTCACACGCCCACAAAAAAAAAACACGCCAGGCTAATTCATAGATTCATGAGTTTAGTAGGAAATGGCACTTTAGTCATGCCGTTGTGTTAATTCTGGTCCAAACATTCACAATAAACATTCTCATCATGTATGAGAGCAGGTCTGTTTTTAGACTGTGTCAGTATATTTAAAGTCCAGCTAGAAAAGGAGTTTGTGGAAACAAGACAAACACTTGTCTTAAAGTTAAGAAAACAGCCTTGCAAGTGTCCTTTAATTTGATGTACTGAATTCCAGTCATGTTTAGTTTGAGTGCTTGAGCAGTTTGAAGAGATGTCTGCAGTTTGAAGGTTACACATACAGTAGATAGAAGGTGGAAGTGTTTGCTGGGTGGTTGCTGAAGACATATGCATGATTGTGACGGAAAGAGAAAGAGAGCGAGATAGACAAATGTACTGATAGATAGATTGATTTTAAGGATATGTTTACGGGTTTATGTATTTGTTAGCTGGACTAAAATAAGTATTTCTACAATCAACTTAATTCAACATTGCTTAAATGCAGAGAGTGAAAGTTGAGGATTAATGTGGAAAGTTTGGCTGTGTGTGTGTGTGTGTGTGTGTGGCCTGCTTGGCAGACCTTCATGAAGGTATACCCTTCACAAGCACACCCCACTGTGGCCTGACTCTGTTCATCTCTCTCTCTCATACACATATTAGAAGACTGACAAAAAGCACGAGATCAGACTCCAATGCAGCAGGACTAGAATGCTGGATAGAAATCAGTATTTTATGCAGTTAAGAGTCTTGGGCTTTAGTGCGTGACCGGCAATGTCTTGCCTGAACTTCTGGGACTCCCAACTGAACCAAAGCGTAAAACACACACACACACACACACACACACACACACAGAATCGAGATGCACGCGCGCTCCTTTGTTCAGGACTGTAGATGTAGATTCACAGATGAAGTGTTGACTCAGGATTGACACAGTGTTATACAAACATCTCGACATTGACATTCTGGCCTCATAATGCAGCGTGCAGTGTGCGTTTGTACAAGAGAACAAGAGAGAGATTTGACTTTTTCTAAAGAAAATGTGAGTGGTGCGTCCTAGCTACAATGCTGGGATGTTGTGGGTGGTTGCCAGTGCGTTGCGTTACGGTGGCTAAGTTGCTCTGAGTGCTTGTCAGCACGTTGTTATGCTGGAATGTTCTGGATGGTTCAAGCCCGTAGCAAAAACATCTATATACTTAGGGTTAAGGGCTTGTCTAAATCATTAACCCTGAATCTAAGCAATAGTGATACTATATTAGGGTTTCATGATTAATCAAAATAGAACTAAAATCAAAATATAACATTTTGCATGTTTCCCATTTAAGCGTGCCACTGTGTTCTTTTACACACAATCATTATAAAATTAAATTATTATTATGTATTGTAAATTCAATTTTATTTTATATTATATTATTATCATTATTTTTCCTTTAAAAACTCATTTTTATTTTACAATGAAATATTACAATAGTAATATTTTTATTTTAATATTTTTGAGTAATAATAATACATTATTATTATTATTATTATTATTATCATATTAAAATATAATCACAACATTTTGGTCCAAATTTTGCAGACCTAATCCAGGGTTATTATAGTTAACTAAAAAAAATATTTTTTTTAATTCAAATTTTTGATGTTGAAATAAAATAGGTTAACTGAAAAAAAAAAAAAAAAAAATTAATACCCACAGA